GATTAGCTGCTGGTGGTTTGGGTGGGCAGCCGACTGCACCACTTCCACCAATTTCACTCTACGCCATCTCTGTCCGAGTTCTTAAACTTTTGAGCTTCTTATGCGAGTATCAATGCGACGAATATGCAAATCAAATTATCAGAAATATTTCTCAAGTTGAGCCATCTAAAAGTAAAACCTTTAGTAATATTTTCCAAGCGTATTTAAATGTGAGATGTGAATATAGAATTCGATATGAAGCGAACTATAAATGGTGTACATGTTGATTCATAAAAAGAATCGATATGAATACTAAATTAATCTATAAGATGATACAAATATACTTACATGATTATGGAATACTAGACTTAATCCTCAATCTATAGCTAGTTTAGCCTGATCTTTGATCTGTATCAAAAGATGGTGGTACTAACCATATATACATACATATGTATACCCCATATATAGCATTTAATACAATATATCAATAGCTGAAAAGCAATAGCTCATCTCACATTTCTCTGCTCATCCAATAAAAATGCATTTGTATTTTCTCTAATATCCCAATTAACGTCTCACACAAACAAAAAAGTCAAAATTCGAAAAACATTTAAGCAGAAAACTTGAACGTGTCGTAATGCAGTTGGCTTCTAACTACGAATACCCCTTGAATGGGTGTATATATGTATGTGTATTTATCTATATATATATTTACGAGAAGCAGACTAAAAATAAATGCCAACTCGACTGTGCAGGTTCCAATGTCCAAAGAGCAATGCTGCAAACTCGCCAAGCCAGCTCTTTTTTCTCTTTTCATGAATGAATTTTTCAAATCCAATTGCTGCAGAGGGCGGCTAGGCGGGAGGAGGGAGCAGCAGGAGAAGAGAGTTGGGCCGGTGGACGGGCAACCTACTCGCGCATGCAAAACACGATTTACTATAAAGGCAAAAGTTGTAGACGACTAGAAACATTGAATGAGCAGCAACAGCTGAGGAGCAAGAGAGAGCGATAGATAGGAGAGGGAGATGGCGAGGCAGGGGGAGCAACTGCGTCTGGAGCTCCGAGCTGCAGACATTTGCAGACATTCGTGTGGATCGTTTCATTCATAAAAGGCGCTGGCAATGGCTGTGGCTGCGCCTGTGGCTGTGGCTGTGGCTGTGGCTGCTAAGCTGGGTTGGCGTTTGGCACATGTTGAGGCCGGATGAGTCATCGTCGCTGGAGTCTACGTCTTCGTCTTCGTCGTCTTCGTCTTGGCCTCTGCTCGCAGCACGTGATTGGAGGCAAACACCAACGTGTCTGGCCAAAGTCGAGGTGTGTCAATTAGCAGCCAGTTGTTGTGGCAGTCAGTCGACATTAACTTGGCCAACTTGGCAAGCCGGTCCTAACTAATTGTTAGGAGCAATTGCAGCCAGCCAGTGACTCATCGTGCATCCACCGAAGACGTCGTCGACGACGCCTTTGCCAATATTCATGAATTGGAATCAGCCAGGCAGGCACTCAGGCAGTCAGTCAGTCAACTGGTTTTCATTTTTGGCTGACTAGCTTCCTGCTTGGCACCCACATGACTTGGCGGCTGGGTTACATGTCCACATCCGTTGCGGCTTCAGTGTTTTGTCATTAAATGCGGAAGAAGGCGTTTCGGCCTGGCAACATTTGTATGCAGCTGCAATTGCCCAAACGCTTTCACTCCCCGCGGGCCCCCAGGTGCTGGCCGGGATTGGAGATTGGGGATTGGCGGCAGCGGCGGCTCGCTTTGTGGCGCCCACCGCTTGCCGCGTGCCGCTTTTGATTAATTATGCAACGCCCTCGCAGGTCTAACATGCTCGTTACTAGATACATATGGGCAGACATATGGACATCTATGCATGCATATATATAGTTACTGCTCTGCTTGGAGACCTGTGGGCAATAGTTGCTCTACTGTGGCTGCTTCAGTTACCACATTTGACCCACTTAGGATTGCTCGGCTGGACATGCCGAGCTGATTTTCATGTTTGTTGACAATCGACCCATTGCCTTGGCTACAATTATTTCGGTTAATTACCGGAGCTGCCTGTGGGCGTGAAACAGTTCCAAAACTTCCGAAAATTGTGACAGCTGAGTGAATGTGGCACATGCGGAACAGGTTCGCAGGGGGAATACAATAAAGTTCTATCGGAAATAAATGTAATTGCATTTGTATAGAAACAATGCAGGTTTTATTTTAATATAGTATATAATCATACAATCATATTGCATTTCGTTTCGATTAACCCCTTTTAGGGAGGTTTCTAATATTGTCACGAAATATTTTAGGCAAACAAAGTGTTCTTCGTGTGGGATGGGGAGGGGGAGGCAAGGGTGAGGGAGAAGGTGGGTGATGTAGGATTTACTTTGTGGGCAGAAGAAGATGGGACTGAGAAACGGATAGAAATAGGAGCTGGGACTCCCAGCCTGAGAGTAACTGGTTCTCTTACACAAATATCACACAAAATCAGTTCTATTTCTTCTTTATAAATGGTACTGCGAGTAATATCTATAAAAGGCCTCGAATTTCTAAAGTTTCGCTCATTTATAAACCATTATACCAATACACCCCCATTACTGCGGCCCGAAACTTTTGGCAATTGCTCTACTTGATCTGTCTCTTTACAAACCTAATCCAAGGGATGTTTCCAAACGACTTAACTAAGCAGCAAGCCACATTTGAAACTAAGCCAAGTTAAGCAATCGAATTGGAAGCAAAAAACTTATTTTGTGGCAGTCGTAAAAGCAATTTTGTAAAACAAATTAACTCATTGCGTAGTTGGAGTCGAGAATCGGAAAGGGAGGAGCGTGTAGGGAGAAGGGAGGAGGCGGGAGACAGAGGGTTGGGTGAGGCTGGAAGTTAGCCCAAAAGCCGCATTTCCACATAACTGGCGCAAAGCGCCTTTGGCCGAGTCCTGGCTGAGCGAAACTTTATCCTTTTCAATCTTAACTTTCGCCATGATTTCTTGCGGTTTTAACTGCTTGCTGTTTGTGCCCCGCCTCGTTGCAACTAACTAAATTGAATTGAGCAACAATGCAACAAAGTTTGAATGCCTCGGCTGCTTGCCACATTTGCCATTGTTAATCAAAGTGAAACAGTAACTGAATGAGGCCAAGGACCAGCTAGGGGCTAAGGATACGTCAATCATACAGTAGCTGACCCGCTGGGCAGGTGTGCCCTCTGCCCGCTGCCCGCTGCCCGTTGCCCGTTGCCTGCTGCCTTACCATTCGCTGCCATTCGAGTCCTTCTCATCTGCATGCGAGGTCACGTGCGTAAATGTGAGGAGCGCCACATGCAGCTGGCCAAATGGACAACGGCTAATTCCCTGCCCGATACAAAAGGACCAAATGCAAAGGTCAGATTTCGAGGCTGAATGCCAAAAACATATCAAATATGGAATTGAATCGACGGCCAAAGTACAAAAGGCAAACATTTTGAATATGARTAACAATTGAATGAATGAATGAATGGCTGACTGGCTTGACCATGGCTCGAGTCCAATTACGGCTCGAAGGGGGAGCAGCTGAGTTCTCTTGATCTCGATTGATCTTTCAATCAAGGCAACAGCAGCAGCAGCAGCAGCAGGAGTCGGCAATCGCCAGTCGACAATCGGCAGCTGCTGAGCCAATTTTCATGAGCTGGGCGTCAATATTTGTGCCTGCCTTCCAGGAATGCCCGAAACGAAATGTTATCGCCAGCTTTTTATCATCGCGGAATGAGCCGCGTCATCAGCGCAGATTGAAATAATTTGTTGCCAACTTGCCAAGTCATTCGAGTGGTCATGGTCAGCGGATCGGCGGATCGGCGGATCGACGGATCGACGGTGGCAGCGTCGGCGGTGGTGCTCTGATCTGTGTTTTTAGTGTGGTTCGTGTGGTTCCGGCGATCGCGTGCGATAAGCAACGTCAATATTTGTGTTTGGCTTTTGGGAGGCAGAGGCCGATTATTTGGTCCTTGTTAGCCTCAAACGCGACCTCAACGTAGGCGACTGCTCGGGCGACGGCGGCGGCGGCCTCTCTCTCAGATCTCGCTGCGCTCAGTTCTTTTGAGACGCCCCGACAAGTGGCTCTGCCCAATCTGCGCTCTGTTTGTGTATCATTGCGGAGGAGCAGGGCTGAGCTATTGAGCTAATTGTTTGTTGTTTCGCTACCTACCTGACTGACTGAGGCTGTCTGCAGTGACCCGGCCTGTGGGAATAATGGCACTGACCAACGTAATTGGCCCTGTTGCGGGATTGAATTATCACAGGAATACACACGATTTGACAGAGCGGTGGGAAAACCCGAAACGGGCTAGAGAAACAAACTATTGACTCAACAGCTATTTAGTGTTAAACAATATAATTTCGCTCAATCTGAAGAGAGAGTCTGCAGCTGTAACTGTTGGGAAATCAAAAGAGAAGCTCAAGGACCAATATAAGCACTATTTTCATGAGTAAAGCTCAATTTATATATATTTACTTGTTTGTTTGTGCTCAAAACCTCACTGGTTCCACTAACCATACAGCACATAGACTGAACAAGCAGAGCTAATTTGTTCTACTCCCGAAAATTTGCTGATGAGCGGCCACTATAATTCGTATTTGTTCAGCTCCGTCTCTATAGGCTCGGGCAGTGAAAATATGGCACGACAAAGTCAGTGCGCTGCAAGTGCTCCAAGTGGATACATTCTCATATAGAGAACCAATATGCTATAACAGCCGAACTGAACTCCTCAAAGCGTTTGCCACGCGTATGCAGAATTTTAGCATTTTCATGATGATTCGTGGGAAGGGTATGAAAGCATTGATGCTCATTAAGAATATGATTTAGGGATGGACTCACACTTGCAGTCCCTGGCTACATGCAGCACACATTTTTTGTTGTATGGCTATTTTTCGCTCAAAAGCTCACTGGTTCGTTAGTAGTTCACTTGCTGAAGAGTTCACAATCGGCTTTCGCCATTTGGCGCTTTCTGGCAACGCTGTGCAGCTTTAGCACGTGCTGTACTTGAGCAAATTCTTGTTGATTATCAATATCCAAAATGAGCAGCAAAGACGATACAATCGAAGTTGTGGAGTCCACGCAAGTCGATGAAGCTGAGAGCATGGACACATCTTGGTAAAACAATTAGATTACTATAAAGTAACACTGGACATTTCCATACCATTTTGTAGTATCAGCATCAGCGACTGCAGCAACAAGGAGAATGAGGCACCATTGGAGGAAAGTTCCAGTGACGATTTTGTGTCGAGCTCCCGCATTTCCCTGCTAGAGTCTGTTTGCAATGGCAAGCAGTCGAAGCAGGTGAGTAAAACAGGTATGGTTTGCTGCATTATAATCATGAGCTCCCTTTTTTTCTTCAAGGATATTTGCGAAAGCTGGATAAGGCTATATAGGCATGCGCCAGTAGCGGCTCTAGTGAAGTTTATGCAGTTCGTCCTGGAGGCGAGTGGCAGTCAGTATCAAATGCCCAGCGGAAAAGAACTCCCGGTTAACTATAGCGAGGTCCTCATAGCGGCAACAGCCCGTTTTGGTAATGTAAGTGCTTTGCTAACCTCACTTTATATGTTTTACAAACATTTCTCTATAAATACACTTGCAGAAGAGGTTGTCTTATCCGTTGGTCATAAGAACTGGCAAGTGTTACGCTCGTAATATTGGCCAATTTGTGCAGTGCCTGATGGGCCTCTGTCATAACGCTGGCCTCCTTTTCGATGATATGCTTTCGAAGAATATAATTGCCTTTCTCCTGGTCTGTGTGGACTCGAAGGTGCGAGCTTTTAGGCACACCTCCACGCTGATTGGTAAGTAGCTTACCGGACACTATAGAGCATTATATAGATCATTCTTCTTGTTTCTTAGCTCTCAAGATGATGACCACGCTGAGCGACATAGTGAGCGTGGAGACGAAGCAGCTTAAGGATATGTGGTCGAAGCTCTTTGAGGGTGTCTTCTTGGAGCGCTCCATCGATGTGGTCGACGAGATACGTTATCTGTGCCTCTCCGAGTGTGGCTTGTGGCTGGAGAAGTATCCGCAACGTTGTCTGATTGCGGACTATGTGAAGCATCTGTTCCTTGCGCTGCAGGATAACGCGGCGAAGGTGGTTGAATGCTGCCTAATGTCGCTGCTCAAGCTCTACAAGAATCCGGAGCTGCGCGCTGCTTGCCTTGAGCTGGGCTTCACGTATAGGATTACCCTGCTGGGACTGACGATGAGCGCAGAGAGCGAATTAGGACAGATGGCCATCGAGCTACTGGGGCTCTTCTATAAGGCCAATCCTTTGATGCTCGACGAGTCCATGCTGCAGGTGATCGAGCAGCTGGTCTTTGCAGCGCACCGGGGCGTGGCACAGGCAGCCGCGGATGTGGTGCCCTATCGCTATAAGGAGACGACTTCAAGAGAGGAGGCTATACTGATTCTGGCAAGGTTCTTCATTCGATTCGAGGAGCATGAACATGCAGCCTATCTAGTTGATGCCTACTATGGACGCAATGATATTGTTCTAGATTGGTCTAAAATGGTCTCTATGCTTCTCCTGCCGGAGTCCTTGGATCGCGCCGAGTGCTCGGCCATCATTGAGATTCTCACGCGTTCCATCAAGCAGGCCGTAACTGGGGAGATTCCACCTGGCCGCTACGCGGAGGAGCTGGTGCGCGAAGCCCAGCCGAATGCCAAGAAAAAAGCTACCGCAGTCCTCTTAAGTAAGTTGGCCAAGCTTTTAAAGCAGTACCGCGACTCGAATCCGGATCTGACCAATCTGCTAGAGCTGCCGCAGTTTATGTCGCTGCAGCATAAACCGTTCGGCGAGCTGCTCGAGCACATCAAGGACATTATGTTCGAGCATCAGGATAATGCGGTGCTGCAAATGGGCGCCATGACTCTGAAGCATTTGTACAGCCTAAACGTGAGCCACGGCAACCATCGGAAGGAGCTGCTGAACAGTGCTGTGACGAACTACATGATCGCAACCACTGCCTGGGATCTGTCCATTGCGGGCAACTCCCGCGTGCCCATGAAGGATAATGCCAAACGTCTGCTTGATACGCTTCGGCTGCTGTCCACGCTCTACGCACGCTTCGATCTAAACGAATGGCAGCTGACCGATAATGCTCTGGTCAAGCTGCAGAACGCAGTGGACGACTGGGGCAACGGGAAACAAGATAGCGAATCTTGCCTGTCGGCCGAGTCCATTTCCTTTTATTTGACTACTATATACGTATCTTTCTCCTGGGATTTGATGCGGCTGAAGGAGGCTGCCAGGGCAGGCAAGGATGTGTCGGCAGAGTGTCGCAATTTGCGTCGACGCTTGGACAACTTTCTATCTGTTTGCTTTCAGCTAATCGAGCAGGGCTCCCTGATCCAAATGGAATGCGATGTAAGTTATGAGAGCTCGGCTCCTGCTCCTGCCTCTACACATGCTCTTTTCCTTGCAGGCCTTCACCTACGCATGCGACATTTTTGTTCTCTTTTCGGACTCGCTGCGCCGAAGCAACAGCACCCCAATCCGTTCCCTGGAGTGCAAATCAAACATCAACGATTATGAGCTGATCGAAAGCTTCGTGCTCCGCTTTGTCTTTGATGGCGGCATCGCTGAGCTGCTGCCAGCGGAGGTGTTCTCACTCCTGCAGAGCAAGCGGCGCCTCCTGGCCAGCTACTGTAAGCTGGTCTTCAACAATGTGATGCCAGTAATGCGCGCCTGCATTGTGCTGCAGTACTACGACAGTGTAAGTGGATATACATATACATATATATAGTGTAGTAGTATTGCCTGATTCCCCACTAATCTCTGCCCGTCTCTCTATTCTAGTTCTATCCGGTCTTTGGCGACATTATGCGCTCCACGCTGGAGCGCTGCCTGTCCGTGAATCCCACGAACTTCGGCATGACCCTCATGCATACCTGTCTATTGGTCTACAAGCGCGTCCGTCTCGCCTTTCCCGATCCTCAGCTGGCTGCTTCTTCCTCGGACTTTGCTGATCTCCTAAAGCTGGCGAATGTGCTGGCGGAGATCTTTAATACCAAGCAGCTGGAGGTGCGCTCCGGAGTGCTTGTGCTGCATCGCGCTGGCATTCGATTTGCTGCGGAGGCCGTGTCCGCTGATGACACGCGTCCTCCAAAAGATCTGCTCTTTTTGACTGTCATACAGCAGTTTGTACCTCAGCTGCTCGCTCAGGATATGATGGACGTACTAAAATCCTTGGAGCTTTTCGATCATGGGACTTTGCCTCAGAGCCAGACTAACGACTGGCTGCCACTGCTCACCTATCGCAATGCCCTGGAACTGGCTCTAATGCAGAGCTGCCGACGTAAGTTCACCTATAAATATATATAGAGAATATATATATGAAGTATTAACTTTTTTTTGCAGGGGATGATCTATATAATCTACCTAGTAATGTGGTGGACTAAATGGACTCCTTACATGGCATTGCGAAGGCTATACGGATAACAATGTACAGATCAAATAACGAAAAATCCTTTGAAGATCTTTAAAACGATTGCAAATTCTTTTTGAATTACTTTCCATCGTTTCCTTTTCGTTACTTAGCCGCACACATCGAAATCGAAATTTGAATACTGAATGAAAAGCGCAGTCAAAGCAGAATTCGATTTTGAATTCGTATTCAATTTGTATAGCGCGATTGCCATTTACAGCTTAATGCACACATACACATGCATGTGCGTGTGTGAGCTCGGCTGGGTTACAGGGTGGCCGGGCTGCATTCAAGCAGCAGCCAAGYGAGGGCACAGCAGCAGCAGCTGCTGCCAAATGTATCGAATTTCCATTGCTCAACAATTTTCAATTTGGACAAATTGACTCGCAGCTTGGCTTGGCGGGATTCAGTGGCAGGGCGAGAGCCCCGCTCAGCGCCTGTCAAAGGCTGTGCACGAGCCTAACACGGCCTTTGACACTCGCTATAAGGTGTGCGTGTGTAAGTGTGTGTGGGTCAAATACATATTTTTGGGCATGTAATCCAAGTGGACTCGCAGGCACTTCTGTTTTTTGGTTTTGGGTGACCGTGTTCCATGTCCATTTCCTTGGCACATGCCAAGTGTCCGGCTGCTGGTGTCGCATTACGCAGCCATTGAGTACACCGAAGACATTAAAGTTCTGACGTCATAAAACGTCATCCACACAATGTGGATGCAGCGGTCAGCTAACAGCAGATTTCGCTCGTATTCCGCTCACAGCTGGTCAGAGTTGCCAGCTCGTTAGGCAGCTCCACATCAATCAGAAGGCAGAGTTGCCAGCCTGCTGGGCATCACCGCATCAAGCAGCAGGCGCGAGTAACAGCTGGGCAGGCAAATTGGAACGGATCTCCGATCTGGCAGGTAGTTGCCCCCACCCTCACACACGTACATCGCATCACATCACATTCGCGTAACGGGCAACCGCTAGAGAGGAGGAAGTCCTTGCTTGCATTTCACGCTCAGCAAACGGGAACAGCCAAAACGGGGCACAGCCAGCGGCACAGATGGGCTGATGCGATTCGAATCATCGGCAACGGTTGCGGTTTAACGAGATGCGTTGCCGCCTCCAACACACACACACAGATAGACACTCACACACACGCCTTCGCTGATGTCTGCTCGCGATAAGCGATAAACGCGCCTCGCTACGGCGATTAGTTTCTTGTTCTTGTGTGTTGTTTTTTGGCCAAGTTAAAACGAGAAAGTGTAACAGAACAGAATTTTTTTGGGCACGCGCATCTGTCGTGCTGGCATACATGTATATAGGGGCAGCAGGAGCGTTCCCTAAATTTCGCAAAGGCGACACGTGGCACTTGATTCATATCAAATTTCTGGCCACAAATTGTGGTGCACAACTATTTGGGAGTTCACATTTCGAGGAAGGGTTTCCTGGTCTCCTTTTTGTTGGTCGCTGCCAACTGTCAACCCATTTGGCCATATTTATGGCCACTTGCTGGCGGCTACCCCGTTAAGGCAGGCCATCGCAACTGTTATTAACACAAATTTATTGCTCTATTTTAGTTCTTTTTTTTTTGTGGGTTCGGTTAAAAAGTGCAATTGGGGGTACTTGCACGCGTTAAAAAACGCGAGGAAATCGCTTCCAGAATCGCCATTCACTAGGATCAGTTATAAGCCAGTCGTTCCAGCTCGTTTTTTTTTTTTTTCCTGCTCGGCCAACTTCAGCTTATTGGAAATGCCACAAATATTACATACATATGTACATATGTATGTAACTGCGAGGGGCTTGTAAAGAATACGTACATATTTACACACATACAATGACAAAAAAGTGTAAAGCCCCTGGGCATTAGTCATTTAATTGTGACAGTTTTTTAAGTAGGCTGCAGAAAAAGTCCCCAAAGCATGTCAATTTCCGCGCAATTGGAACAACCTTTGCTGTGATTAATCGCATAAATTATTAATACGCCCAATGTTTGCCCGCGATCAACAATATTTTCGACCTGTCGCAGCGCAATTGGCACTGCAATGTTTCCATGTTTGTATGCGTGTGTGTGTGTGTGCTTATGTGTGTGTTGAGTCGGATTAATCGGCTGGCGCTTCGCTTCAATTGTGTAATCCCATCGCTATTGCTGTTGTGTTTGTCAGTCATCGCGGGTTTTCTCTTTGCGTTGTTTGCGCAGCGGGCGGCGCTGCAGTGTGTGTAGTGTGCGTTTCGCAAGTTAAATTGTTTATTGTTCGACATTCATTAATTGCATATGTAAAAAGTGTTAAAAACATTCGTTAGTGCACATGTGAAGTGTGAAAACATGATGTACAGTGTACACAAGCTGCAAGCAATAATAAAGCAATAAAGGAGAGGAAAGGAAAGTTGCATAACATTTTAGGCGTAGTGTGACCGTAGCAAAAGTTCTGCAAAATACCTACGATAAGGAAATTTTTAATTATAAGTAAGTTGCTGAGCAATCAGAAAGAATTACAACACGAAATTTGTATAAACATTTTGATACAATTTTAGATGGCCCTAATAAAATAATCATAAAAGAGATCGCAGTGAAAGTGATGCAAAATACCAATGGAAGGCCATTTTGTGGATCACAATAAGGTATGTGGAACGCATTTCTATTTACAATTTAAAAGTGCTTAGAATTAATTTTATTAATTAGGCTTTACGTACATATGTAGCTATTTATAATATATGTATGTCCATGCACACATTTGTATTTAAACTCATGTTTGCGGCGCGTCTGCTTGCGTGTAAAAACATCAATCGCTCAATTCATCAACATTTCCCTTTCTCCTCCTTGCTGTCGCGGTGTTGTACCTTGACAAGCGTTCTTTTCATTGATAAATACACAAATTTGTAGATTGTCAATCAGGTTTGTGATCTCTGTCCGTCTGAGTGACAGCAAACATACAGAGTGTGGCAAAGGATCTGTCAAGGACATGCCAGGACATGCCGGCACATGTATTGTCCGCAATCTGTTTGCTGTCCTTGTTATTGTTTCTCTCTCTGTTTCTTTCCACCCTTGTCTGTGTGTGTGTGTGTGCGTGCAAATAAGGCGCGCCGTGTGTTTGGCTCCTGCGCCGGTAGTCCTGCAACTAAATCATTCGCCTGTTTACAAATGTGTCGCCAGCGCGTAATTCAATCCTTGCGCGCAGGATATGCAGCCGAGGCAGCCGTCGCCAGCGCTTGGCAAACCAATAAATACCACTTAGACGCAGCCATGCAGGGACTCTCCTGCTCCTGGCTGCTTGTGTCAACAAAAGTCATGTGTCGGCATGTCGCCTGTGCCGTGCCGTCTGTGCATATGCCATGTCCTTTGACACACAAAGGGCGAGGTAGGGACTGGCTGCAGCTGAGGCTGCGCAGGACACGCATAAATTAACGCGCAGCTCCATTGATCCCTGGTCTGCACCTTTGCTCCCCATTAGCACGCGTACACTTGGGACGCACGCGCAGCATCCACTTGAAAGGATCTGCCGTGTGTGTGAGAGAGAGACAAAGCGAGAGAGAACGAGTGAGTGGCACAAGCTGCACAAAGAATCAGTTCAGCTCAAGTGCAGCCGGAATTGTGGCCGGGTTGAAATTAGTTAAGCCCTGTCAGCAAATCTGATTTAGTGCCAGCTGCTCACAAAAGGATGCTCAAACAATCGGTGCATTATCCTTTGCACTCAGTCAGGCACAAATTATAACTTTAGTGGCAATTTAATTAAGCAATTACAAGGGGTTCTCTCTCTCTCTCTCTTCGTTCTGCCGTTGCTGCTTTCTCGAGTGTTGATTTATTAACAGATGCTCAGATTCCAATTGAAAAGAGAGACAGGATTCGTTCTAGAGAGAGGGAACATATGTCCCTATGGCATGCTGCATGAGGTTGGATCTCGTTGGAATATTCGGATTCCTCCAGATAGTTCTCTCCTCTTTCTTTTTTTATATGAATTATGAATTAACTTCTTTGAATTATCCTACAAATTTATTTTATTTCTTAAAGCGCTTTTAGATATTCAGCTTCGGCTGTGGTTTTTATTTCGAGTGTAAAGTTTTTGGTTAATGAAACAATTTATATACATTTTTTATTTCCCATGAATCGTTGCTCGATCTATTTTCTGTTATTTTTATAGTCTTTTATGCTTCACTAGATATGCTTTGTAGATCATATAGCTGATAATATATGAAGGTCGCTGGGGTTTATTGGGTTAGGTCAAGCGTTCGACACATAGGGACAGTTCAATTAAATGCGATATTTATATCAGTCTGATACGGACCACAAATTGGAAAATTAGTTGAGTAGTTGGTCAGTTGACCACCGGCAGGCCGTCAGCTGGCCGAAAGGGCGAGTTTGTGCGAGCAAGTGCAACAGATGGAGAAGTGGACAGAAATTAATAACGAGGCAAACTCGAAAGAAGAATGTGCATAAAATATTCAAGTAATGTCTTGGGCTTTGGGGCAGGGGCCAGAGGCCAGAGGCAAATGGCAAGTGACAAGTGGTTTGGTGTGCTTGGTCGGCCAACAGCTGACTTCGAGTATCCCCAATACATAGAAGAATCCCCCAATGGCTGTGTCTGCACAATTAATCATGTGCGTCGTTTTGTGATTTTTAACGACTGCGACTGCTGTCAACGCATCCTGCGGMCCATGGCCCATGGCCCATAAAACTGGGATGCGCCCTGATAAATGTGGCTCAAGCAAAAGGCAACAGCAGCCCATCAAATAGATTTATTATTGAAAATATTTTTGTGTGCCCTTTTGATTGTTATGGGTTCCTCACTCTCTCTCTCTCCCTTTGACTGCATCTCTTCAGCAGTCCATGCCAAATGTTGTGACAGGAGCTGAGCCAAGAGGCAGAGGCCGAGAACAAATGTTGTGTTAAATTTATTTCATTACATTGGCATTTTATGATGACTTGGCGCGTTCTCTTTCATTTGCTCCTCTCTATATGTGTTGGTTTATATATTTTTGAGGCGTTCGATTTCAGGGCAATAAAAGTGAAAATGGGTCCTTAACACAGGAGCAACAGCATACAGCAGTAGCAGCAGCAGCAGCAGCCTCATCTTCAGCATCAGCTGTCGCCTTTGTGCATGGGTCTTTGAACTTTGTCCAGTGACAGCAGCTGACTTCGACGGCTATCAAATGAAAGCGAAGACAAGTTGCGGAGCAAGTAGATTCTTGAGCTTGAGCCATAAAAAACTTTGTCAAGACTGAAAAAATGATGAAATAACAAATAAGTTTTAGTGTCACACGCAGGAATGATCAAGAGGTTATCAAATATGAAATGGCTTTAGTTGTGGGTAAAATTATGGAGCAGAGCAATTAAAAGTTTTCATGTAATGCTAAAGATATGGTTAATGACGATTACAAAAGAAATGAAAGCTGTAGAGCTCCTGCTCCTATCGCACTTTGGCGCTATATCTCAAATACAGTAGCATCCATCAATGGGCTAAGCAGAAGCTCAGCAATCCAAGCTCTCGGCTCAAAACTAATTACCCCCTCTTCGGAAGAAGGAGTGAGGGGAAGGGGACACACACAACACCTTTACACATAATTAGAGGCCTGTTGACTGCGGCGACAATGAATGGGAGATATTAATGGTAAACAGGCAGCAGCGGCGACGGTGGTAAGAGTCGGTTACCAACCATGTCCAGCTTGTCGGCCATTCATTAATCCACAATCCACAATCCTCAGTCAAGTGCAGACGCAGAGACAGAGTGCGAGAGAGTGGGAGAGGGAGAGGGAGAGAGCAGCTAAGCTGAGACGAACTGCGCTACGTGCAACGCGCCTTGCAACGTGCAAACGGCGGCACAACAACAAAGCGCAAGAGCCTATTAGCCACAATAAAGAGGCATCTCTCTGCTCTCAAGACTTCAGTCGCAGTCTCGAGTCCCAATTCTATTATGCTGCTATGCAGATGAATGGGAGTTGGAATTGGAATGGGAATGGGAATGGGACAGGAATGGGACGGGAGTGGGAATGGGAATGGGAATGGGAGTGTGTGTGTTTGCTCGCCAGATGCCATTACAATGTAAATACAAGAAAAGTTCAATCGGCAACTTGATGCGGGTCTCCCTCGGTCCACGGGCAAAGTGAGTCGGGTGAGGGAGGAGAAGGCCGGCACACGTAGAAAGCCATTTCATTAGACAGACACAGACACAGACACAGACGCAGACACAGTCACAGACTGAGCTATAGCCTGAAGCTCTCATCTCCATTTGAGTGGCCCCGACTCTCTGTTGAACAATTGATCAAATATCATAATTTATCAAATGACAATGCGACAAGGCGGCAGCCTCTGTGAGGCAACGGCCCCGATCTCTGTGCCCAGTCGAACTTGTTTGCTTGCCCCAATCCCCACACCCAGACACTATCCACAATGTCTGTGTGTTCTCCCCGCCCCGGCCGCCGTCTCTCCTCTCGTTTTTTGAAAGCTACAACTTAATTTATTTGAACAATTTAGTCTGACACAACAACAGTGCCCAGAATCTAAACAGACCCATTTGGCTTGTCTTGTTCTTATTTATACGTATGGCCCTGGCCAATGAAGCTATCAAAGCATCTATTTAGCATAATTGCAGTCGAGCCGAGCCACGGACGTTTGTTCTTTGCCAGCGGCTCGTGGTGGTCTATGATAAAACCTATACGAGGCGAATCGAGAGAGGGCACAGTGGAAAAGATTGGCGTGCATCTGGGCACAATATATGGGGAAGCTTTGATCAAGTTCTCCTTTAGAAAACAAAATTGCTTTAGCATTGAATATATTTGTATATTTTTGATGGAGCGGCTTTTGAGTATTTACTACCAAATTATTTGTTAAAATCCACTTAGAAGACGTTCAATATGGCAAAGCAGGAGAAGGTGGTCGCAAGCACCGATTTGGATGCGAAGCCGATCTGCTGCTGCAATTGCAAACGGAAGATCGATCCCTATCAGCTGTTTGAGGACAATATCGAGGACGTGGCCAAGTGTCTAGCCCAGATCATGGTGATCTGCGGCATTAACACAACCAAGGCCTGCAATGCCAAATCAATCATCAAGCGCGCCTTTATCTATCACGAAAAGTTGAGGACGCGCTGCCCCGCCTCTCCTCCAGTTGGCACGCATTTGCATCGGGACGACATGCTGCAGGCGCTGCGCATCAAGTGCGAAATGGAGAGCGTGGAGGCAATGTTGACGTACGCGATCATCAAGCGTGCCTTCAAGGCATTCTTCCACGGGAAGCCGCCCAGGACGATCAGTAACCCCATACAGGATGCCATGGTCATACACACGCAGAAGTCGGCCTGGCTGCATGCCGCCTACAGGACGGCGAGGATCTTTGATAACTATAAGGCGGCCTTTTTCTGGGCTCACAAGGCGTACGAGAAACAGATCACAATTGTCTATCGATCGCTCTACGAGCGGATGAGCGCGCGAGCCAATCCCTTAACAGTGCCCACCTGCAGCTGTCGCAAGTGTGGCAACATGGAGGTGCCAGGGTACCCGAAGCCCGGTGCGAAGGTGCATGAGAAGTTCAAGCTGGCGGACTGTAAGGATTTGCCACTGTCCTGCATTCTGTGCGGCCTGCAGGTGCCCAAGATCGAGACTGATGTCAAGGTGAAGCGGCCACGCCC